GCCCCAAAACAATAGGTTAAAGAAAAACAACTGTACCACCAATGTATGAATGGTCAGTACTGGTAGCAAAAGGCAGATAGTTCTTACACATGGCAGGCCATGAGTTTTATTTAGTGAGCCTATACGTGTTACAAATTCTGAGAATTACTGTATATAGTGTTTGGACCAATGTTGTTGTAAGAATTTACAGTATTATATATACTAAAAATATTCTACAGAAAAACAACCTCAATTTTTAAAGGGATAGTAGAAAAAATATATTTTACCAAGTGTTCAGAATATCACTTTCTGCATGAAAGGGAGAAGGAAAGGATTAGCATACCATGTCCCTTGTGAGTGTGCTAACTAGTTACTCAGTAAATATGACAAACCACCTAATACAACGTACAACCCTCATACAATCGCTACTTCACAAAGGATAATTCATCCAAAGATTACCGTTTAATTAAAATCTAACACTCTTTTATACATAAAATGCTTTCAGCCATAAAGCATCCTTTCATACCAAAGTGTATTATGTAAGTACGGTAAACTATAGGTCAATACCCTTCAATGTTGTAAATGTCTTGCATGGTCAAGAAGGATCTTAGTATTGTACATATAGCCACTATTGTATAGTATACAATACAAAGGACTTTCTAGACCGGCCATCCTCAACCAGGGTTCCATGGAAGCCTAGGGTTCATTCTGGGGCTGCTAGGGGTTTCATAAGCTGTGGTTCATTGACTTCTAATCCGATGGTGCTTACATTGTTCACAGGCCAATGCTATTTGGTACGGCCAGTGGCATGGCACTAGGGGCTTTTTTAGCGGTCTGAAAGCATAGCATTCTAACCATCACCGTAAGGGGCACTTTTTTCCCATTGACCATCAATATAAGGGGCATTTTTTTCCACATACAGTACTGCCGATGAATTGGTGTTAGCAAGACCTAAAGTGTTAGCAAGACCTAAAATTGAAAAGTTGAAAAAAGGCTGTTCTAGACCAAACAAGACAAGACATCTATAGCATTGAAGGGACCAACCTAAGGTTTTTAGATACTACAGTTTGGTGTTTTGTTTGATTGGAGGTTTTAATGAATATCAGTAAACATGTTTTTTGTTTTGTTACTTGAGAACCCTAATACAATTGTTTTGTAGAAGGACAGTACTTATATTGTACTTATAATAAGAATGCAATAGAATTTTATTACATGGTATTGTAATTTTTGAATGGAATATTCACTGGAAATAGTTATTTTAATAAGGTTACTACATGGTATTAGGTGGTTTGTCATAGTGGAATAAAAGCAAGTTCATTAGCAGTTATACTTAGAACAGAATGCATGTACAAGTCTCATTCCTTCACAAAACATAATAATAAAGGGGTGAATAAGCACCTTACTTTTGTGATAGAAAAAAGATATATAGATACCTTCTGTTCTAAAGATGGTCATAAATAGCTTGAATTTTATCCGATTCCTGTTGACACCACCTGGAGAAATCGAAGACGCTCGGCAGTCAATAGTTGGCTGAACAGTGACTGCAACCACTGCAAAAGCAGGTATTCTGACGGGTGCTAGCTGTCAGAGTACAATAGCTGGCAGTGGGAGATTTGCCCATCCATGCTGTTTAGTATGAATGAGGGAACCCATGGAATTCTCTTGTTTAGCCCATGTAGAAGGCTTTAATAGGCACTGCACTAACTGGAGGCTTTTGATTACTTTTGGCCCATGTGACCATAACCTGTTGGGTTAAGCTTTCTCATTGGCAGTTTTAAAATACATGTAAATGTGTAGCTAGTAGTAGTCACATTCAGTTGGACTTATTCTTCATTACTAAAGGCATTTTACAGCTTATCCAAGCAGTTTTTTTAGTTCTAATGAAGCTACTGAAAAATGTATTTGACATTACAGAACAAGTCCAATTGAACTAATACTACTCACTACTCCACGACCTGGATAAATGAAAACGTTCACAAACAGGTTAAAGTATAATTAGCTGTATTAAAAAACAGTTTAATGTTTCCCTTTTATGTTAAAGGACACAAAAAATAGTATTATATGCAAATATGCTTTGCCTGAATTTCTGAAAATAACAAGGCTACCACATTTGATAAAATGGCTGTTTAAATTCTAGATATACAAAGTTTAATAATTCACATTAGTCTTCTAATACACAGGTAAGCTAGGACCAATAAACAATAAAAGATCATTTTACTGGGGTTCCACACCTTCTACAGGTCTGGTGTAGAATGGAAAACCATAGCTTACTAGACTCAAGATCATTCCATCAGTTGGCCATTGCATTATTACAACCAGCCTGGTGACCAAAAAGTGTTATTCCATGAAAAAGGAGTTCCAGTAAAAAAGGTTCTTTTTCTTTTTAGCTTAGATGAGTTTTATTCTGAGGTGTTATCACCAACAGCACTTAATTTAATTCAACTCCTCCCGGAAAATGACTTTGCATTGCAGCATTTGTTTGTCATGTGTTGATCCAAATACATGTTTTACTAATGCATGCAAACTGATTGTAAGATATTGTAGCACTGGCTCTATTCCCTCAAAACGAAGTGATCTAGAAAAGAAAATGGCAATGAGTTCATTAAATGAATAGTCTACAAAAATCGAATTTGTAGCTAACAGTAGGTTTGATAGGCAATCTGTTGATTCTTCATTGGGTACATGGCTGAACTCTGATATAACAAAAGAAAAAATTCTATATTTAATAATGGCAGAGCTGCTTAGATCTCTAAATATAGCAAACGAGCAATTATATCTAAATTTCAAAAGTGAGGATTACTAATATAAAGTTAGCAAATCTCCTAGAGCACAAACTAAAAAAAAATATGATTAAAAGCTAAAAAAAATGATTAAAAGATAAAAAAAAAAAAGTTCATTTCACTTTTATCAGTCTTTAATCCTTCTTTGAAACAATCCTTGAACATTTATTCCAGGTTTCACTCCATTTTTAACTCACTGTCCAGGAAACAAAAGTAGAAAAGACTGAAGGAAAATCTGTTTAACAAAGTAAAGGGACCCTACATCTGCTTCTCCAGTGACTAAGAAAATAAATGATGAAAACCAACAGGAAAAGCAGAAGAAAGGCACAATAACTCAAGTGAACAAAAATGTATATAAAAGCCCAAACTGTGCTGCAGATTGCTGCCTGCATTTAGAAATAAATATTTCACTAAAATAATTCACTAGAAGAAATCTGCACTCAATAGTAGGCTCATATATTTTTATGAAGTTAAATAACATCATAATCCTAAGTATGTTTCTGATGCATTCTTCGACATGTTCATTTTACATGTGAATGTGTTTACCTGTTGTTTTTTATAAAGTGTTTAATAAACATTCCTGGGGAGAAAAGATTATAAAAGATTATAAAAATAAATGGTAGGATTAGAAATCCTACACACCAAAGACTAGGAATCCAACACACCCAGACGTGTTAGATGCTAAAGACCATTCAGCTAGTTTAGCTCTTCAAGGTAGTGAAGCTGGATGGCTTGAACAGCAGGACAGGTAAGTATTAGATATTTTCTTTACAGGGTGCAGCTAGCTTAACTCTTCAAAAAAGAAAGAGCATGGGTGGTTTGGGTGGCAGTAAATATAAATAAATTTTTTCTTTATAGGGTGCATTTTTTCAAAGTTTTTAATCTAGCAACAAGTGTCTTTAATGTGGAACTTCACCCTAAAGGGGAATATCCACTTTATTTCCTCCTCCCCACTTTTTCTTTTGGAACTTCTCTTTTGGGGACCTAGTTCTTTTAAGTACCCGCTACCCACTTCCAGTCTGATTGCCTAGGCAATTCCACCAGACGTTCATTACCTCCCCAGCCACAGCCTTCTAGAACGTGTCACACAGCGCAGTGTGGCTCAAAGCTGGCTCTGAGGCCACAAGAAGTCACAGCTGGCTTCCCACACTAAACATGCCAGAGCTGGGGACCCACAGACCGGTGAAGAACCAGCCCAGGTGAGGAGGGCTCTGGATCCCTGGACAGATAAGTGTCTTTTTTTTTTTTTAAGTCAGCAACTAGAGTATTTGTAGCTACTGGCTATTTTTTTTTCAAACAGAGTAAATAACTGCTTTAAGAAGTGAGACATAATGATTGCAAACTAAGTGTTTGCTCCCTTTAGTGGCTCATCTACAAATTATTATTATTATTACTATTATTATAATACACTATATTTTTAAGATTAAAAAATGGAAGAACAGACTTGGTAAAAGTTGAAAATCAAATGAAAAAGTTTAAGCTAAACACAGCATTAACTCAAAATATGTGCTCAAAATATGCTATATGTTCCCTTTAAAATGAATCTCCACAGACATGTCTCATTCACTCCTTTTGCAACAGACACGCATGGAAAGCCAAAAATGAAGTAATTGGATGTAAACACAAAGGAAATATAAAATTTAGATGCCAGTACATTGGCGCCAAAATGATGACGCCAGTACAGAGTACCCTAAAACATCAATAGAAGAGATCTGTCATACCGTTTATTATATAATACCGTCTGTAACCAAATAAAAGTTTTGCAAATTCTATCTACAGTACTTATGGTGAACATTTGAACCTGACTTCCAGAGAAGCACTTCACATATTACAATAATAATATTATATCCCAATTAAGTTCAGCATAAAATCAATAAACATTTCGGTTTGTTTATTGCAAGGAAAACCCTTAACTATTCTTAGTAGAAATTAGAACCGTTTGACATAAAGAACTAAGAAAACTTATTATCACAAATCCAGTTACTGCCTCTGATTTATGTTTGACTGTCTTGTAGAAACCACAGTATATTATATAATTTCTTATGAAATGATTCTGTTGTACCAGTAAATAAGCCTCATAATGGTCAAATGTTTAAAATAGGAAAGAAAAGGATAATTTTAAATTTGTACATCCGTCTGTAATAACAATAAAGAGTAATAATAAATAGAATCCTAATATATGTCAGTACAAAGTCCAGCTTTGATACTGATGAAGCCCCCACATTCAATGAATTCTGAATTTTATCCAGTAGCTGTTTGGTTACCGATGACTCGAAGAATCTCTTTATAGCTACTTGGCTCTTGTGTGTTGATGCTTGTATCGCCTACTTGACCATCTTCGTAGCTTCACAAAAAAATTTAAAAAATTCAAAAAAGAATAAAAACATTAATAAAGGTTAACAAACAATAAATTATAACATAATAATATAAATAATAACAACATAATAAATAATACATTTTAATTAAAACATTTTAATAAAATGAATCACTTCAAAGCTGAAAGTGAAAACCTCACAACCCCCAAAACCCTTCTGATCAGTGTTAGATCCTAAATGATGGCATTATTTATATAAAGTAGACTCTATATTAGATATACCAAAAGAGTCATAGTTAGGCCAGAGTTCTCCTACAGGGACCTGAGCTACTGGGACTCTAATCAAGCAGCTATGGCTTGAAAACCTAATGCTTTTATTTTCAAGACTTCCATTGAACACTGTAATATCGTGTTCAACAAGACACTGACAGTGAAAGCTCGTTGGCATGTATCAGTGTGGATTTTAGCACACAGTTAGTCTGGAAGCTCTGGGGACCTGGGCTCAAATTCCAACAGAAGAGAAAAAAGGAGAGAAGCGCCTCTAAGTGCAATAAGTCTTTTAATTCAAGTCTAAATGTAGAAACACTCACATGTGTGAAGTAATCATAAGCATAAAAAACCGTGGTTAACAATAGTTAACGGTGGGGTGGTAACCCGGGTGAAGAGCCGTCATCTCTCTGCGATGTGGGGAGGTCAGCTCTTGGCTGGAACAGCGTGGTGGCTGGAGGGGGAACAGTGGTGAGGCAGCTTGAAAAAGGAGTGCACTTCCGCCTTCCACGGCCAGTGCATGCTCCGAAACGCGTCGCAGTGCACCCTGGGATCTGACGTCATCACGGCCACGCCGCCGCTACGTTCCAGCGTGCGTTCCATCCGGCTTTGAGGGAGGACGTGCATGAAGGCTGGCCTCACCACTGTTCCCCCTCCAGCCACCACGCTGTTCCAGCCAAGAGCTGACCTCCCACATCGCAGAGAGATGACGGCTCTTCACCCGGGTTACCACCCCACCGTTAACTATTGTTAACCACGGTTTTTATGCTTATGATTACTTCACACATGTGAGTGTTTCTACATTTAGACTTGAATTAAAAGACTTATTGCACTTAGAGGCGCTTCTCTCCTTTTTCTCATCTACAGAAGTTGCTACAGCTTATTTGGAAGCCTTGCCCTCAGTGCCACACGGAATCCTACGCTCTTCATACAGTAGCCACTAATACCACCATCACCCATACTACCATTTCCCAGGACTTTGCAGTGTTTGCGCTGTTACAACCCTTCCTCATTTTTTCTGAATCAAATTCCAACAGGTCTACCATTGTCTTGGTATTTGTATGTTTTCCCTTTTTGGAATTCATTTTAGTGGAATTCATCCAAAGTTTATCCAAATAATATGCTTCTGCCTACAGATAAACACAGAATGTGTGCATATTCATTATTGAATATTAGCAGGTGTGGCCTATATGAGATTAAAGCATGGAGCAGTGTGTAATATAGTGTACAGAGTGAACCACCGCTGAGTATATAATGTGCAGCTAAATGTAGATTGGAGCAGTATAGAGTATATAATCTACATCACAATTTACAGACTGGTAAATATGGAATGTAGATTGTACAGCACAGTGTACAAAGTGGAGCAGAGTGGAATATACAGTATAGTGTACAGAGTGGAGCTGTGTGGAGCATATGATGTAAAGCGGGGGTCAGCAACCAGTAGATCGGAATAAATAGTATTCAGTACAGTATGCAGGAGCAGAAATGTGAAGTATAAAATGTACAGCATAGTATACAGCGTAAAGTGGTGTAGAATACAGTGCGGAGTATAGTGTACAGAGTGGAGCTGTGTGGAGCATATGATGTAAAGCGGGGGTCAGCAACCAGTAGATTGGAATAAATAGTATTCAGTACAGTATGCAGAGAGCAGAAATGTGAAGTATAAAATGTACAGCATAGTATACAGCGTAAAGTGGTGTAGAATACAGTGTGGAGTATAGTGTACAGAGTGGAGCTGTGTGGAGTATATGATGTTGAGCATAATGCACAGAGTGGAGCTGTGTGGAGTATATGATGTCCACATAGCATACAGAGTGGAGATACGTGGAATGTAGATGTACAGCACAGTGTACAATAGAATATAAAGTATACTGTAAACCAAGCAAAGTGTACAGAGTAGAGCTGTGTAAAGTATATAATTTACAGCACAGTATACCGAGTGTAGATATTTGAAATGTAGATTGCACAATACAGTGTGCAAAGTGGAGCAGCATGAAAGATATAATGTTCAGAACAGTATGCAAAGATGAGCAATGTGGCGTATAAAAGGTGTATCATAGTATATGGAGTAAGTGATGTAGATTGCAGTGTAGAGCATAGTGTACATAGTGGACCTGTATGCGGTATAGAATGTGCAGCACAGTGTAGAAAGTGAACCGGTGTAGAATCTAAACTGCACAGCACAGTTTACAGACTGGAGTGGTGTAGGATATGTAATTTACAGTAAATGTATGATACTTACACAAAAAAGAACCGTGTACAGACATGATCGGTAGTGGGAACGACCCATATCTCCCCATGTTTGTGCAATTCTGGTGAAGTGATAACTGTAAATACACAACAAACAGAAATGCTAATCATATTAGAAATTGTCAGAGAATGCATAAATTTACAGGATATTTCCAATGTTACAGAGTGATTCATTTATTCTAGTAATAGTCATCATCTCCAGTAAAGCAACACTGCGGACACTACGAGTGACAGTGCAGTGTCCCACATCTTCTGTCGTATTCTATAACCCAGAACAATGGCAAAGCAGAGCTGAGAGGGAATCTGTGTCAATGGAAAATACAGCAAAGTTCACAGGTGTAGTAATGGAAACAGTGCCATGTTCCTGCTTGCCAGGTCTGCATCTCCGTACAGCAATACAGGAGCCCTGAAAATTATGAACCCATCAGTTACCACCTCCTGTGGCTTGTCATTGGTCTTTCACTGTGATGGGCAGCTTCAACTAACCAATCAGTAATTCACTGGAATGCAAATTTGAAAATAATTCTTTAATCTAGGAACATATTTATATAAACAAAAGTTAAAGTCAGAAATCACCTAAGTTATCTCATTCTCCAGATTGTTTAAATAATTGTCTTCATGATACTTGATAAGTTAAGGTGACCATAGATGGATCAAAATTCATCAAGGACCAGTCCAATTTAATTTATTGTGTGGCTGTCCCAGATCAACAGAAGCTGAACATTAGATCGACTTTTGTCAAATGATTACGTTTGAAAACTTTGTCGATTGGCTGCAGCTGTTGATCAGTGTATTCTGACAGTGCCAAGTACTGCTGACTGAATAGAATACCTTAGAGGGGGAAAGAAATTCTTCTATCCACCTCATTTATGTGGATGAAGGAGTCTGTTTTTTTTTCTTCTTAGTTTAGCCCGCTGGCTAAGAGAAAAAAAAAAAAAAGATCATCTATAGCCAGCTTTAGAAATAAAAAAAATCAAGGAAACCTATCCATTCCATACCACCTGACTGAATGTCCAGGCAGAGAAGAAGATTACAAAATCCTGTCATTTGACAGGTGGTAAACCTGACATCCACAAAAGGCCCTTAGAACGGCTTGCTGATGATTTTTTTTATTGCCATCCTGGTCACCTTGAAAGCCTCTAAACCTGGAATGGTCAATATGCAAATAAGAGCTGAAGATCTCAACAACCTCACATATCCCCCTCAGTCTTCAATAATCTATAGAGAACTGCACATTACAAGGAGCCTGCACGAGATCAGGGTTTGGAGACGGACTTCAATCTATTGTTACTTGAGCGTCACGAGTATGAGGGCTTCCTGTCTCATAGGAATCCATTTATTAAAAGTCAGGTTATTGGTAGGCTTAGCATACTCAAAGGGCAAAAATGGACTTCTAGCTTCAAAGTCTGATCTAGTGCAGGCCCCTAGTAATGTGTATTTCTCTATAGGTTTGTGAAGACTGAGGAGGAATGAAGGAGGTTCTTGGGTTTTTCAGCCCCTATTTGCACATTGAACACTCCTGATTCAAGGATTTTTAAGCTGCCCAGGAGGTTTTCCAATGGACAACTGACAGGTTTTGTTTATCTTCTTCTCTGTCTGATCATTCATTTCCTTAATTTCTTATTTCTACATTATAATACAACATGCAAATATTATCATATCCATGATCTGGTTAATGAGACAACTTTTGTCTATTGAGTGTCCTGAGTTTGAGGACTTCCTATCTCTCTACAGGTAGCCATCCTTTACAAACCAGGGTATTAATAAGACTTGCAATTTTTGCAAAACTAAACCTCTAATGGGATTTTGAGGGCAACCAAATATTTTCAAAACAAATCAAAAAAGGTTAAACAAAACATGCATTTTATTACAAATATTAAAATCTACCACATATAAATGCAACATATATTAAGAACTTATTCAAGACACACATATCACCATGTGCAATATTTAAAAGTTGCGTCTGCCGTTTTTCACAGTGTGGTACACCAAGTTTGGTTCTTGCTCTAATGATTGTCTTTTTCACAGCCAGTCTTTTTACTGGGAAGGGCCAATGCATTGTGAAATGTAACAAATTCTTCATCATGGAGAATAGTACCACAAGAATGGCAATAATGGTTGAAATGGATGGACTTGTCTTTTTTCAGCCAGGCTAACCATGTAATAATCATCCCCCAATCACACCATCCTAGCAGGCCACTAAGTGAGGATCTAAGGCCCCCAGCAGGGTCTCCCAGAGTGCAGCAAGACAGCAAATATTGCTGCCAAAGTCCAAATTTCTGATCCTCTCCCTCAGACTAACAGCATGTCTCCATAGTCTTCCCAGTAGTGGCCATAAAACATGAACATAAACATGGCCACTACTGGGAAGACCATTATGGAGACATGCTGTTAGTCTGAGATTTACAGAGGGAGAGGACCATAAATTTGGACTTTGGCAGCAATATTTTTATGTCTCTCTGCTGTCCTGATGCACTCTGGGAGACCCGGCTGGGGGCCTTTGATGTTTGCTTGGTGGTCTTAGGACGGTGTGATGGGCAGATGGTTATTGCCATTCTTGTAGTACTATTTTCCCTGATGAAGATTTTTTACATGTATAATTCGAAACACATTGGACCTTCCCAGTAAAAGGACTGGCTGCAAAAAAGACAAGGAAGTCAGCAAGAACCAAACTGGATGTACCACACCATGCAAAATGGTAGATTCAACTTTTAAATATTGTATATGGTAATATGTTTGAATACGTTCTTAATATATGTTGCATTTATATGTGGTGGATCTTATCTGTGATTATTTATAATTTGTAAAAAAAAATATGTTTTTTAACCTTTTTTGATATTTGGTTGCCCTGAAAATCCCATTAGAGGGGTTTTTTTTGCAAAAATTGGATGATATCAGGAAAGGTGGCAACCCTCACCCAAAACCAGGAAGGTAATTTATTCTTGATGAGACTTGCATACCACAGTTCACTGCTGAATATACCCACCAACAAACACTATATTGTTTAAAAAATTTACCTTCACATAAGGCTATACATTTCAAGTTACGGCTTTGCAAAAATTGGGATTGTTGTCCTTTTTTCTGTGACTAGGAAACGGAGTGGGGAAAAAGACAGAAAACAAAATATAATTAACAAAACAAAGAATAAGAATAGACCAAGGTTTGCTTGAGCAAAATAAATAAATAACAATATGAACAATATTGTAACAGAACCTTTAATAGAGCAGTACACATCATGAATACATGAATAATCCCATGTTTTGCCTAATATGTTTATTTCCTATGATTGTCAGCTCCATCTAGTGCCCATAATTCAGTATTTTCCTTAATGAAGTATTTTAAGAAAATACCGCAATGCAGCCCCTAGATGGCAATGGTGATCAGAGGAAGTATTGTAAATGTATTAGCCAAAATTTTTGCACAGAATAGGACCCTATAAGTGCATGTCTGGGCAAAAAAAAAAAACATATTTAGTAAAACTCTGCAAAACATGCACATGTCCCCATGTTTTGTCTCATTCCCCATGTTTTGTGCTGCAAGTGCAGAAAATATCTGTCACTACTACCAGAAATCCTGCGAGCACCAACGTCCTGTAGTTGGCTGAAAACACTACCTTTGCTGCTAAAATCCCAAGCAGTGTTGATAACCCTGCCTGAGTCCTCCCCTGCTGGAGGTGTTCTGTAGCCCAGCAGTTGAAAATTAGACAGAGCTTAAAAAGTGCTTGGGATATCAGTGCTGCAGAAGCAAAATATTATGAGCCTGCTGGATTTCTGGCAGGATAAACGTATTTTTTCTGCAAAACATGGGGAAAGGTGTATGTATTGCAGTATTGTACTGAATATATTTTTTATTTCTTTTGCCTAGACATACACGTTAAATATGTATCTGCTGTGCTAATAGCTAAACTGCTTCCACTATATGAACACTGTATATACGGTACATACAGAAAGTTAAAGGATGGCTGGATCCAGCAGAAGTAACATGGGACTTTAGAACATAGGAAGGAGGCACAATGACAATATCACATCAGACTCACTTTATCCTATTCTACTCCAAACATTTAAATACCCCTTTAGTCTCTGTGCAGTGTTAGTTGGATGATACCTGTGTTGTACTACTGCTTTTACTGCCTGACGGTGGGTCATCCTTGGCTGATACTTTCTGCTGCTTCTTGTTCATCCCTGTTCAGAAAAAAGTACATTTATATGCAAATCATGTCTTAAGGTTGAACTGCAGAATATATAAAATACAAAAATTGTTGATTTTTTTTTAATTTAGCGCAAAAAATCAAAAACTGCAGAAGCAATCAAATCCCACTAAAAGAAAGTTCTATTTATGAGGGAAAAATTACATAAATTTTATTTATGTACAGCATTGCATGACAGCGCAATTGTTAGTTAAAGTAAAGCAGCGCCGTTTCACAAAAAATGGCCTGGTCATAAAGGGGGGTAAATCTTCCGGGGGGCAAGTGGTTAATCCAATTTTGCATCCATTAAAAAAATGCAACTTCAAGTATGAACTTGAATATGTGTTGATATTAACATCCCTGTACATCAGTAATTAGACTGAGATTAGGAGGGCCAACATTGCTTGCCAATAAGGGTTCTGCTGCTTTGTTCACAGATGACAGTCCAACACACTACAGGGATGACCTCATCAGTGTGCTGCTGCTCCTTCATTGACCGGTCAATGGTTAGGGTAGCTCCTGAACCAGACTGTACTGACCACATGCAGTGCAATTTGCAGGAAGGTTAAGGACTTGGTTTGGGTGTCTGCATTACAAAACCTAAAAAGAAGTCCATTGGTAGCTCATGGAGATCACATATATGTACTGTATTTTGATTGCATGTTTGGAGTCCAGCTTTTAAGGCCTTGTTCTCACGGGGCATACTATGCCATACGCCCATGCAGGGCCATGTTTACCCACATGAGAATTAATGGAACACCAGGTGGTCCCATTCATATCAAATGGGACATAATGGCTGCACAAGAAATTCTGGAAGAACCCTTTGCACACTGCTATATACCCTTTCCAGCAAACTTTGCAATTAAAAAATCTAGCAGTGTGCAGGGGATTCTTCCAGAATTTCTAGTGTGAACATGTGGTTACACTCCTTTAGCACCCGATAGATGAATGCATGTACAAGATATTGGGATTTGAGCACAGGTATATCTTGTTTCTATAGTGGCTGTGTAGACACAGGTGCTGTGTCCCATTATGACATCCATGTGGGTGACCAAAAATATCAACTTTACTGCTTCCTGGGTCAGCAAATATAGGCTGGAGGAGAGATTTATGCTTTATTATATCTTTTTTGCATATATTATATTTTTGGTTCTCGTTATGTCTTTGTGTGGTTAGAATAGTGTCCTCCTGATGAAGCTGCACTTGCTGTTTGAGAAAAATGCTGAGTCATCTCCATCCCACCCCATACTTGTGCTAGCAGAGGGGATTTAGGGGGAGGGGAGCTATGCTAGCAGAGGGGATTTGGGTGGAGGTTTGTGCTAGGAGGGGGGATTTTTATAGGTGGGGGCATTTGGGGAGAGAGGATTTGTGCAGGGAGGTGGGATTACTTGAAGGAGAAGGAATTTATGCTTAATTTAGTGAGGATGCCGATTAGTTTTTTTTTTTTGGGGGGGTGATCTAGGGGATTCTTACATGCTCTTACAATGGAGGGGGGGGGGGGACGCAGTTTATCATCTTTGGGGAATGAGTTGTTTGTGGGGATTTCAGAGTGCCCCCTTGTACTCCCCTACTCCCCCCTGGTCCTACATTAACACATTCTGGCATCCAGCTGTATCTTACTGTGGATTATGTGTATAATCACTTGCTGACCAGCTGTAGTACATATATTGTGGCTGGGTGGCACCTGCAGGCAAAATCATGTACGTATACATAATTTTGCCTGCTCCGGTTCAGGGGCACGCTGCGTGGACTCCCCCTCCCCCCACACGCAGCAATTGTTGTGTCTGGAACGTGGATCCTGGTTTCCGGGTCCTAATGATCATGTGATCGCTATACAAACAAAGCCATTATGAATGGTACCTGGGCCAATCACAGCACCCTGTACCATGTAATTAACTGTAGCCAGTCACAGATCACTAGTGATCACAGCTGTCATGAATGGTTAACCCATTCATGTCAGTTGAAAATGCTGCTGTTACAATGATCTTCATTGTAACAGCAAACAAAGTGGTAAAAAAAATCCATGATCACCCCCTCAGAGAAGTATAGTGTTACTATGGTGACAATGAACTACTCTGATGAAAGCAAGTAAAAAAAAAAAAAAATAAAAAAAAAAAAAGAAACAATGAAAAGAAAAATGTTAAAAAAAAATGGAATAAAAATGTTTTACTTTTTTATATTTTTTTTTTTTACATACTGTCACCAGTCAGTGTCTCTGATCACTGCTACACCAGTCATATGATGATGCTGTACTGCGCTGGTAGCAGAATGTAAACAAAATTGTGAAAACAATTTTATTCAATTTCCTAATTTTAAACAAAAAATTTACAACTTGAAAAAACTTGCCATGCCTCTTACTAAATGCCTTGTACTGACTACTTTACAAAAAGGGGTCATTTGGGGGGTATTTATACTGTCCTGGCATTTTATGGCCTCAAGAAATGAGATGTCAGTATATTAGAATACATTGAGTCTTTTTTTGCAAATTTTAAATCTATTTTTATATATAATGCAAAAAATAAAAAGCCCAGTGGTGATCAAATGCCACCAAAAGAAATCTCTATTAGTGTGAAACAAATAATAAAAATCTCATTTGCATACAGTATTGCATGACTGCGTAATTGCCAGTTAAAATATCGCAGTAATGAATAGCAAAAAATGGCCTGTTCATGAGGGGGTAAAATCTTCTGGAGCTCAAGTGCATAATTTGTAAGTAATATTTATTTTTTTGTGATAATTTATTCTTCTTTTTTTCAGAATTGTTTATGAGGTTGTTAGTAATTATTGGCCATCATTTTCAATCTGATGAAGATTTATTTGAAAAATTGAAAGGCGTTGAGTTGTATCTATTTACATGTGGTTATTATTACCTGTGGATTACAAGATGGTCTCTGTGAAACAACTCTGTGGTTGATCAGCTGCTGTTTTTAACTTGGTGATTTTAAATAAATCTATGTGAATAATAAAGGTGTAATTTTTATATAAATGTTTACTTGTGTGTAGTGCCTAAAAAAATCCCCAAATCTTGTTTGGTTGTATATTGTGCTATATGGGATACGGCATTTAGTAGGATCAGACTTCTAGGAATATTAACATGTTGCATTTTCTCAGTGGATGCAAAGTCTCCTCTAACTCCTTGTCCAAAGGCTTTGCATTGGAGGAGACATGGTGGCTTTGCTGAGTGTCAGCTCTTGTGCTCACAATTCAGCAGGGCAGCCACTCGGCACAAAACCTGGCACCTAGTTGAGGTCACTATAGTAATGGTGCCTACTTCCGTGATTTTCAGCTTCCACAGAGATCCCACAGGTATGGCACGTACATACTTACATTGGTCCAATCTGGAACACGGTAACTTTATAAAAATTAACTTACCAAAACTTCAATCGTAAGCAGCACTGCATTTAAAGCATTAGGCAGCATTTCACAACAATCCCAGTCTACACAAACCCTAGTTTAGATGCTCTAATGAAAAAAAGAATTATAAAGGGGAACAACGAAAGACCAAGTTACCTGAGTAACCAAACGATATGCTTGCTAAAGGGCTAAGATATATTCCACTTCCATACATGGCACCATGTAGCTGAAACAACATGACAAAGGTTTTCTGTTCAGAAATCAGTTTACTTTATTATCAGCGCTCATGATATAGTGTACAAGTGACAGGAAAATCAATACAATTAAGATACCTAACAGGAAACTCTAACTGACAGTCCGAGGTCAACGGGAAGACTGGGCAGAGTTCATTAATTTGATAATAATCTACAGGACTTCTGCAGTATGTCTGTTTAAATGTATACCAAGAGAGTTTAAAATATATTGTATCTGACAGAGGGGCAGAAAATCATATTACACACTGTTGTGGCAGCAGGGTGTCAAACATTTTAAAAGCAAAGCATTTTTGATTTTAAACCAAATGTAAAATTCCCATCAGTATTGCAGATATTTCTTAAAGTAAGAGCAGAAAAATTTATAAAAATACTTTTTAAAAAAAATGTTTAATGTAACTCTGTTAGGTGACCTTGACATGATAAGAATAAATCCAGAAGAAGATACTCAGGACAGGCGCATAGAGGTGTCTGTATTTGTGCTCATATACCCGATACAGCACCTCAGGAGCAGGAAAACTGGGGAACTCGCATATATTTGAAATGCTACAATTTTGGCCATATTCAAATAGATTTAAAAAAAAAAAAAAATATATATATATATATATATATATATATATATATATATATATATATATATATATATATATATCACATGTTGAAATGCATTTTTATTACAAAATATATGAAAAAAGTTTTTGAAAATAAATTTCAATTATACTGTATGTCTTTAAAAATACAAATCTATTTTTGGAATGTATTTACAAATATGTGTTAAATGACTTTTTTATATGTTAAAAAAAATCTGAATATATTTAAAAAAATATATTTTTAAAAATATATTTTTTTTAAATAGGATTCTTCAGATATTTTTTAGCATATAAAAAAGTCATTTTAACAGAAGATTTCAGCAGACCATAGGCAGCTAAGCCTCTGAAACAATAGCAGGGAAGGGATCAGACCAATTGAGGGTAAGCCCAATGCCCATTAGGCAAAAACAATGATGATAATTCAAGCGTAGTATTCCAAAGCAGCAAGTTAAATTTAACTATATTAAAGTTAGAATATCGTACCTCAGAAACAGGCAGGCAGTTACTGAATGGCAGGAGGATCAATCAACTACCAGAGCGCTCATCAGCACCATCATAGTTCACTGAGAACTACAAACTGTCAGCTGCAATGGATGACAGTACTTGTCAGAAGTAGGAATATGAAAAGATGCCTTGCCATAAAACAGCTTAACATTAAGCTATTTTATGGCAAGGAATCTTTTCATATTCCTATTGCTTACTGAAGTATGTATGGCACTGGCTTTGGTACTGCATCTATTGTCTCCTACAGTTACCCTTGAGACATATACATGTTGACAATTGGCATTATATATACAGTATATGTATTCCTATATGATTATGATGAAGCAGACTACAGTCCGAGAAAAAGCAACCGCAAGTCCGCTTGTGATTACCATAAAACTGTGGAAATTCAAAAGCTGTAGACTATATCTATGGCTCTATGGTTGAACTGGATGGCCTTTTGTCTTTTTTCAGCCAGAATCATTATATATCAGTATATCTGGTAGATAGTTAAAGGCTATCCAGTATGGGTGCATATATGTGTCTTTTTATACCAAGGGTTTATTTACTAAAGCTGGAGAGTGCAAAATCAGTCTGACTTTTACATAGAAACCAGTCAGCTTCCAGATGTTGTAGCAAAGCTTAACTGATGGAATATCAGTAAATATGGGAAGATTTAGACATTTGCCAGTAGATGTGATTCAGTATCTTAATTTCACATATTTGTTATCATATTGACTTGGATTCCCAAATTTAAGGGTAGATGTGAATTGCCCCTTATCTTGATATCCCTGTAATATAAAGATTATACTATCTTTTGGCTTAACATTAAGCTATTTTATGACAAGGCATCTTTTCATATTCCTATTGCTCACTAAAGTATGTATGGCATTGGCTTTGGCACTGCACCTATTGTCTCCTACAGTTACCACTGAGACATATACATGTTGACAATTGGCATTATATATGTATTCCTACATGATTATGATGAAGCAGACTACAGTCCAAGAAACGTGTCAAAAAGCAATCATAAGTCCACTTGTGAATACCATAAAAAACTTTGGAAACTCAAAAGCTGGTGACTATATCAGTATTTCTGGTAGATAGCTAAAGGCTATCCAGTTTGGGTGCATATATGTGTCTTTTTATAACAAGGGGTTATTTACTAAAGCTAGAGAGTACAAAATCAGGCTGACTTCTGCAGAGAAACCATGTTAGCTTCCAGATGTTGTAGCCAAAGCTTAACTGAATAAACTGAGGTTAGAAGCTGTTTGGTTTCTATGCAGAAGTGAGCCTGATTTTGCACTCTCTGGCTTTATTAAATAAACCCCCATGTTCAGGGTCCAGATTTGAACTTGTGACTCCTGCAGTGCCTGGTGCAGCTCTTTTTGCTGTGCCACTTGAGATGCTGGACTCTGCCCTCTCTGATCACTTAGATAATCTTGCCTTGTCTCTAGTGAACTCTTTGTTCCACCCTTAAAACTTCCTGATTTCAGCCATGTCTCTGCACTTCCTGCTTGCCAGATAATTGTGCTCTCTCCAGCCAATATCTTGCTCCTTTGTATACCTGCAGCTGTCCTTATTTCCACTACCACTCATTACTGACCTATTTGCTATGCTTACGCTTGATCCCAACCTGCAACCCTTTGTTATCGACCTTTGGCTTATTCCATGACTATGCTTCTGCTTGACCCCAACCTGCAATTACTTGTTACTGACCTTTGGCTTGTTTACTGACTATGCTTCTGCTTATCCTTACCTGCCACATCTGCTACTGGACCCCGGCTTGCTCACCTCCTGGTGGGGCGATACCGAGGACCGTGATCTGGTACTAACATGTAGCAAAGCCCATCTCCACCATCAGGAGCTCTGATGAATATTGGTTAGTGCTTAGACCCCACGCCTCAGGTGAGTCTGCATCATCCGCCAGGGTGGCCTGCTTGTGCACTTATCCTGCTGGTCGGTGGGAGCCTCTCTACTGCTATAGCTACTAGTCTCTGAGCCTGACCCCTGCCCATGACACCATGCCCCTATGATCTGTTTTAGAATATATATTTAGATATGATTTTAAATAGAAATAAATGTTTTTATGATCTTGGGAGTCTTTTTAGAATGATTCTGTGACACCAGGTAATTGTTTTTAACTAATCCTAATAGTAAGTGACTATAAGTTCATGTCCATACGAAACATGGGAAGGGCAGGGCACAAGCTAGTTGACATAGGTGAGAGAAAAGGATAAAACCTGCCCTGTTCAAGAGGTTCAGGGGTTTTGGACACATATGTAAACTTGAAAGTTCCTTTAAATAAATTAAAAAATACATATTTTTATTATATATCTGGGCGCAAGGGCCCAACACATACACCTAATATTTTGGGCATATTAATCACTAGGAACAAGTGGTAGAAGATATTAAATCATTCTCATTACCTGCAGTTTTGTATTGGAAGCTACTACTAATCCGTTCCTCAGGATGGAGTGCCAGTTTTCAATGTGCGAGCCACTGCAATAGTAAATGTAAAGTATAAGTTACTGATGTTATTTTATTTATTATTAATAATAACAACAACAAGCATCTACATCTGAACAATTCTAGTTCTATATCTTGTTCGGGTTTCAAATCTCTGAATTTTCTTCAACAAAACAGGCAAAATACATGAATTTGAAACAAAGACACTATATTGTTGTGAAAGCCTAATAATGCTCTTAAAATAAATCTATTTTTTAAAATTTTGGATAGCATTAGGAAGGGTTAGAATCCCTGTCATGGACTTTATTGCTGTCTGTGTCCCTGTTGAGGATCACTAACCTCACCAATGTTGTGACAAGGTCATCCAGAGGCCAAACTAAATATTTGAAAAAATGACCCCCCCCCCCCCCTTCCCCAGTTTATTAGCATGAGCTAGTGTCAGAGGGACAAGCCAATCCAGGGGAAACATGTGGATGGAATACAGAAAGATGGAGAAGGAAGCTGAACAAGGCAGTTTCCAGCACAAGACAACTGAACAGTCAGAGAAGTGGTGGTCAACCAACAAATTACAAAGGGCTCAAGTGCAGCCCCAGCACTCCCAGGGAGTTGCACAATACCATATTTTAATGTGTTGAAGTGTATTGCTTGGAGCTAGGCAACCCAATTAAGATCACACTGATGAGAAACTAGAGAAAAATAAGCCCTATGGTTGTTATCAGTGGCAGTAATAGCAAATCCTAGAATTAGTGCAAGTGGTTTCAATACTAACTCCCAGCATGTGTCACTGGGTAGAATAATAACCCCAAGAATGGGTGTTTGGGGAACATAATTATAGCCCCCAGCACTTGTGTCAGTGACCACAATAATAATTCCCTGCATTGGAGTCAGTGATCACAATAATAATCCTCAGCATTGGTGTCAGTGATCACAATAATAATTCCTAGGATTGGAGTCAGTGATCACAATCATACTCCCATCATTGGTGTCAGTGATCACAATAATAATCCTCATCATTGGAGTCAGTGATCACAATAATAATTCCTAGGATTGGAGTCAGTGATCACAATAATAATCCCCAGCATTGGAGTCAGTGATCACAATAATAACCCCCAGCATTGGTGTCAGTGATCACAATAATAATCCTCATCATTGGAGTCAGTGATCACAATAATAATCCCCAGCATTGGAGTCAGTGATCACAATAATAATCCCCAGCATTGGAGTCAGTGATCACAAATAATCCCCAGCATTGGAGTCAGTGATCACAATAATAATCCCCAGAATTGGAGTCAGTGATCACAATAATAACCCCCAGCATTGGAGTCAGTGATCACAATAATAATCCCCAGCATTGGAGCCAGTGATCACAATAATAATCCCCAGCATTGGAGCCAGTGATCACAATAATAATCCCCAGCATTGGAGTCAGTGATCACAATAATAACCCCCAGCATTGGAGTCAGTGATCACAATAATAATCCCCAGCATTGGAGTCAGTGATCACAATAATAACCCCCAGCATTGGAGTCAGTGATCACAATAATAACCCCCAGCATTGGAGCCAGTGATCACAATAATAACCCCCAGCATTGGAGTCAGTGATCACAATAATAATCCCCAGCATTGGAGTCAGTGATCACAATAATAATCCCCAGCATTGGAGTCGATCACAATAATAATTCCTAGGATTGGAGTCAGTGATCACAATATTAACCCCAGCATTGGTGTCAGTGATCACAATCCTCATCATTGGAGTCAGTGATCACAATAATAACCCCCAGCATTGGTGTCCAGTGATCACAATCCTCATCATTGGAGTCAGTGATCACAATAATAACCCCCAGCATTGGAGTCAGTGATCACAATCCCATCATTGGAGTCAGTGATCACAATAATAACCCCCAGCATTGGTGTCAGTGATCACAATCCCATCATTGGAGTCAGTGATCACAATAATAATCCCCAGCATTGGAGCCAGTGATCATAATAATAATCCCCAGCATTGGAGTCAGTGATCACAATCCTCATCATTGGAGTCAGTGATCACAATAATAACCCCCCAGCATTGGTGTCAGTGATCACAATAATAATCCCCAGCATTGGAGTCAGTGATCACAACAATAATCCCCAGCATTGGAGTGAGGGATCACAATCCTCATCATTGGAGTCAGTGATCACAATAATAACCCCCAGCATTGGTGTCAGTGATCACAATCATAATCCTCATCATTTGAGTCAGTAATCACAATAATAATCCCAGCATTGGAGTCAGTGATCACAATAATAATCAGCATTGGAGTCAGTGATCACAATAATAATTCCCCAGCAATGGTGTTATTGATCACAATAATAATTCCAGGATTGGAGTCAGTGATCAGTCCTCAGCATTGGTGTCAGTAATCACAATATATAATCCTAGGATTGGAGTCAGTGATCACAATAATAACCCCCAGCATTGGTGTCAGTGATAATAACCCCACAATAATAATCACAATAATAACCCCCAGCATTGGGCATAGTCAGTGATCACAATAATAACCCCCAGCATTGGAGTCAGTGATCACAATAATAACCCCCAGCATTGGAGTCAGTGATCACAATAATAAACCCCAGCATTGGAGTCAGTGATCACAATAATAACCCCCAGCATTGGAGCAGTGATCACAATAATAACCCCCAGCATTGGAGCCAGTGATCACAATAATAACCCCCCAATTGGAGCCAGTGATCACAATAATAACCCCCAGCATTGGAGTCAGTGATCACAACAATAATCCCCAGCATAAGTGATCACCCCAGCATTGGAGTCAGTGAGTCACAATAAATAACCCCAGCATTGCGTGGTGGTGTCAGTGATCACAATCATAATCCTCATCATTGGAGTCAGTGATCACAATAATAACCCCCAGCATTGGAGCAGTGATCACAATAATCCACAGCCCCCAGTGATCATAATAACCCCCAGCATTGGAGTCAGTGATCACAATAATAACCCCCAGCATTGGAGCCAGTGGAGTCCAGTGATCACAATAATAACCCCAGCATTGGAGTCAGTGATCACAATAATAACCCCCATTGGAGCCAGTGATCATTACCCCAGCAGCAGTGATCACAATAATAATCCCCAGCATTGGAGTCAGTGATCACAATAATAATCCCTTAGGATTGGAGTGTCAGTGATCACAATAAATAATCCTCAGCATTGGTGTCAGTGATCACAATAATAATTCTTAAGTCAGTGATCACATAATAATCCTCAGCATTGGAGTCAGTGATCACAATAATAATTCCCAGCATTGAGTCAGTGATCACAATATAATAAGCATTGGAGCCAGTGATCACAAAAAAACACCCAGCATTGGAGCCAGTGATCAGTGATCACAATAATAATCCCCAGCATTGCAGCCAGTGATCACAATAATAATCCCCAGCATTGGAGTCAGTGATCACAATAATATCACAATTTAATTCCTAGGATTGGAGTCAGTGATCACAATAATAACCCCCAGCATTGGAGCCAGTGATCACAATAATAACCCCCAGCATTGGTGGTCAGTGATCACAATAATAATCCTCATCATTGGAGTCAGTTTGATCACAATAATAATCCCCAGCATTGGAGCCAAGTGATCATAATAATAATCCCCAGCATTGGAGAGTCAGTGATCACAATAATAATCCCCAGCATTGGAGTCAGTGATCACAATAATAATCCCCCCAGCATTTGGTGTCAGTGATCACAATTAATCCCCAGCATTGGAGTCAGTGATCACAATAATAATCCCAGCATTGGAGAGTGATCACAATAATAATTCCCCAGCATTGGTGTCAGTGGATCACAATAATAACCCCCAGCATTGGTGTCCAGTGATCACAATAATAATCCCCAGCATTGGAGCCAGTGATCACAATAATAATCCCATTGGATTGGAGCACACAATGAATCACAATTGCAGCCAGTGAACAATAATCCTCAGCAATGGGTTAGTGATCACAATGCTGTTAACCTTCCCTAATAATCCCAGCATTGGTGTCCCACCCCTCCTTGGCAGTTGCATTGCTTTAAACCCCCCCCACCACCACCACCTTGCATTGCAGTGTCTTAGTGCATAATAACCCCCAGCACCCTCTCTTCTACCTTAATTATTGCTGGCCAGTGGGGGTGCTTTTTAACCCCCCCCCCCCATTGGTGATCCTTATCTGATCACAGGCTACTGCTGTGCTCTCTCTCCCCCATCAGCCAGGACTATACTTGTACTTTTAAGTACAAGGGAATTACTGGGAATTACTGTGTGTCACCAGCAGTGAGCATGACAGGGAATACAAAATGGTGTCACAAGAACAATAGGGGGGAACCTTTCAAGTTCCATTGATAATGGTCAAACTGGATTTGGAAGGTAGCAGCTTTCTTTCAAAGTATTTCTCCTTCTTTCAGAAAAAACAAACAAACCAAAACATCCTTAGAACAGACTTACTGAAATGCAAATGTGCTCCCAAAGAGTTTTTTAGCAGCTCTGAAATTTGCTTCTTTGGCTGGTGGACTGCTGAGAAGTAGGAACTGGTGAGGGGTGTGCATAAATTTCAGTTGCTGTAAAAAATGAAATATTCATTGAAATATTAATATGCTAATCCCAATCAATAACTATGTTTGTTTAATAAGTAAGTGCAAAGCAGGAAATATACAAAAGTTCACATTGGTTCTGAACTTGAAACACCCCTATTATCAGGCCCCTTCCCCGCCTCTGCAGGGCATATGTCAATCACTGTACCTTCTGTCTATGCAGCTTAGAAGTTTACATGTAGCTAAAGGCCAATGTAAAGAGATTATGGGGAGGTGAAGCAGAAGGATCTGTCTATTAAAAAAATGGAGTGTCCCCTGACTTTAAACAACAGACATCATACTGTTTGTGTATATATATATATATATATATATGATATATAATAATGTGTGAAAAGCAATAAGCAGTGATCACAATAATAATTCCTAGGATTGGAGTCAGTGATCACGATAATAACCCCCAGCATTGGTGTCAGTGATCACAATAATAATTCCCAGCATTGGAGTCAGTGATCACAATAAAAACCCCCAACATTGGTGTCAGTGATCACAATCATAATCCTTATCATTTGAGTCAGTAATCACAATAATAATCCCCAGCATTGGAGTCAGTGATTACAATAATAATTCCTAGGATAGGAATACAAAAAAAAACAACAGACATCAATTATTTTTCATTGTTTATATCACAAATACCCAAAATATGCACTTTATTCTTTGTATGAATACAGTAGACAGAGCCATGCTAAAACGTCCATGTCCCAGAGCCAGAACAGATGAATTATACTACAGATACAGGTCTGAATATGGAGTCATTTATTCCATCAAGCATGCAGCTACTTGGTATTTGCCACTGTAAGGGCTGTAAAAAAAAAAAAAAAATTGCATAGTTGTTTGTCCATCAAAATGTCATGTAAATTCGTTCTGTGCAAATGAGGAAAAATAGAATGTTCCCAGGCTTTATTCTCTGCAGACTGAATATATGAATACCACATTATGGCCATTAGATGGCGCTGAATATCATAGGATTTATGCATGTTCCTTAGCTCCATCTAGTGGCCATAATACAATATTTCCACATTCACACATTTGAACTGCAAAAGAATATAGCCTGACAATTTTTGATTTTGCCCCATATGCACAGAACACATTTACATGCAAATATATAAACACTACTAAGATATATTCTATGGATTTTTGATTTTGCCCCATATCCACATAACAAATTTTTATGCAAATTTGTAAAAAAAAAACTACTAAGATATATTCTATGGATTGTGAAACAACAATCTACTATATCAAGTCATGATACTGTTCCAATATACAGAGGTCAATAACTAAATATTCTTAACATACTTGTTAGAATTCAATGATAAGGGCTGGAGGTAGATTAAAATAACAGGTTCCCAGTATATGAGACTCTAAACCTGACATTCCCCCTCCTCCTATTAGTGGGATCAGGAGACTTCTACATCTCTGTGCCACTCTAGACATGCTTACAACTGTATAGTCATTATCAGATTTGACTGTAACCTCCAGCAAGGATAGCTTTTCCCTTATAGTGGTAGTAAAGTCACCTGTCTGATTTAAACCTACAGGTAAGCCTATAATAATGCTTACCTTTAGGTACAGTCAGGGGCGGACTGACAACTCATGGGGCCCCTGGGCAATAGGGGATCATGGGGCTCCTGTGTCCTTGCCCAAACTCAAAAAAGCCTATGAAAAAGGTACCAGGGGCATCTCATGGGGCCCACTACTGACCCCGGGCCCTCGGTCAGTGCCCGAGTTTCCAAATGGTCAGTCCGCCCCTGCGTACAGTAAATATCAACTAAATGTACACTGTTAAAGAGATATTTACTTTAGTGGCCACCAGAAACATCACCAGAGCATGCGCAGTGGGCTCTGAATGAACTGTGGCATCCGTTCAGAGCTATGTGCTGTGGCCATGACTCCCATGCGCCTACTAAAATACAGCATGAGCAGGTTCCCCATTGACAGCTGAGTGTAAAAAGAATTGCCGGCAATTAAAATTAAAAAAAAAAAAAAACGGAGTGGGGTCCCCCTCCCCCCATCCATACCAAGTCCTCCAGGTCTGATATGGATTTGGAGGGGAACTCCTATGCCAACCTTTAAAAAAAAATGTTGTGGGGGTTCCCCCCAAAATCCATACCAGACCCTTATCCGAGCATGCAGCCTGGCTGGTCAGGAAAGGGGGGATGAGCGGGTGCCCCTCCCCCTCCTGAACCATACCAGGCCACATGCCCTCAATATGAGGAGATGTGCTTTGGGGCAGGAGGGGCTCCACCTGCTGGTGGGGGGCTTATCAAAATCTGAAAGCTCCCTTTAACAAGTGGGGCCCTAGATCTCACACCCCCCATGTGAATGAGTATGGGGTACATGGTATCGCTACTCATTCACAAAAAAAAAAGCGTAGTGTATAAAAAAAGTCAGTAGACAGTCTTTGACAAGTCCTTTATTAAAAACAAGAATAAAAAAATGTCCCCCCGAAGTACATCCATGTCAATCATGATGCCTGCCACCACCGCCAACCCGCAAAAAAAAATTTTTTTTAAAAAGGCTCTGCTCTCGACGCTGGCTCCAAGCCATCTGACAACTGCGCCAGAAAGACAGTTCCTCAATGTCTACCGGGTGATCCCGCCCCCTTGTGACTTCATCATGTACTGTGATTGGCGAAAACACTGCACCTGACCTGTGGTCAGGTGCATTGATTTGGCCAATCACAATGCACTGTCATAGTGCTGTGCATTGTGGGTTGTAGCGGGTGAACAGACTCCCAAACGACCTTACCGTTATCTGACCCGAACACATGAACCGCCGATGTTCGAGTCAGTCAGGTGTATTGCTTTGGCCAATCACAATGCACTGTCATAGTGCTGTGCATTGTGGACAGTGGTGTATTTAGACTTTGTGCTGCCCTAGGCAACACAAAAATGTTGCGCCCCCCCCCAATGAGAAAGTGAGAGTCAATAAGTGTGTGTGTATCATCTATATATACATATATATATATATATATATATACAGTATATATGATTCTCTCTCTCTTCCCTCTCTCTTTCTCCCTCTCTTCCCTCTCTCTCGCCCCCCTCCCTCTCTCCCCCCCTCTCTTCTTTCTCTCTCTCTCCCCCCCACCTCTCTCCCTCTTCCCTCTCTCTCTCTCCTCCTTCTCTTTCTCACCCCTCTCTCTCTTCACTCTCTGCCCCTCTCCCTCTCATTCCTCCCTCTCTTCACTCTCTCCCCCTCTCTCTCTCTTCCCCCCCCCTCTCTCTTCATTCCCTCTCTCTCTCTCTCTCTCTTCCCCTCTCTCTCTTCCCCCTCTTTCTCTCTCTTCCCCACCTTTCTCTCTCTCTTCCTTCTCTCTCTCCTCACTCCCCTTTCTCTCCCCCCCTCTGTCTCTCTTTCCTTCCTTCCCTCCCTCTCTCTTCCCTCTATCTCTCTCCCCCCCCTCTCTCTTCCCCCCCCTCTTCTCTCCCCCCTCTTTCTTATCTCTCTCTATTCCCCCCATCTCTCTTTTCTCTCTCTCTCTCACACCCTCTCTCTCTCTCTCTCTCCCTCGCTCTTCCCCCCTCTCTTCTCTCTACCCCTATTTCTCTCTCCCCCTTTCTCTTCCCTCTCTCTTTTCTCTCTCTCTCTTTCCTCCCTCTCATCTCTCTCTCTCTTCCCTCTCTCTCGCTCTCCCTTCCCTCGCTCTCTTCCCCCCTCTCTTCTCTCCCCCCTCTCTCTCTCTCTCTATTCCCCCCATCCTCTCTCTCTATCCCCCCATCTCTCTTCCCCCTCTCTCTCTCTCTCTCTCTCTCTCTCTCTCTCTCTCCCCCCTCTCTCTCACCCCTCTCCCTTTCCTCTCTTTTTTTCTCTCTCTCTTCTCTTCTCCCCCCCCCCCCCTCTCTCTTCCCCCCCTCTCTCTTCCCCCTCTCTCTCTTCCTTCTCTCTTCTCTCTCTTTCCTCTCTCTTCTCCCTCTCTTCCCCCCTCTCTTTTCTCTCTCTCTTCCCTCTCTCTTCCCTCTCCCCCTCTCTCTCCTCTCTCTCCCCCCTCTCTCTTTCCTCTCTCTCTTCCCCCCCTCTTCTCTCTCTCCCCCCTCTTCTCTCGCTCTCCTCTCTCCCCCCCTCTCTCTTCTCTCTCCCCCCTCTCTCTTCTCTATCTCTTCCCTCTCTTTGTTTTTCAAATCATATGGGTCTGCGCACACACACCTGCACCAAGGGCTGCTGATCCCCGGGCAGCAGGAAGGAGGGGGGGGGGAGGGAGGTGTGTGCAGCCCCATACGATCTGTCAGTGTAGGGATGGGGGCAGGAAGATCCCACAGAACGCAGCACAGCTCACCTCCTCCGGGCTCTTCTCTCCCTGCTCCAGGCTGTCCCCTGGTCCTGGCTCATCAGCTGCTGGAGGGAGAGGTACACAAGCATCGCTCTGCAACTGCCCTCCCCCACATCGATCCTCCTGCTGTCCAGGCCACTGAAAGAGTACCGAAGGTACTCCTCTGATGGTGGCCCTGCATGGCTCTGTCCACCACTGCTCAAAAGGTCCCTTCTTCCGGGAGGCGGTGCCCCCTAAAAATTGCCGCCCTAGGCAAACGTCTTGTTTGCGTCGCGGTAGATACGCCCCTGATTGTGGGGCATAGCAGGCAGATAGACTGCCAAACGATCTTATTGTTTATGTGTTCACCGAACACATGAACTGTTGATATTCGAGTCAAACTTTCGGTTGACTCGAACATCAAGCCCAGCACTACTAGCAGATTAAACCATTATCCTGCAGGGGCCCTTTTTTCTTTTTTTGGCAGTTTGCTACCACTTTAAAGTAGATGCAAACCCTAAGTGAGTGACATTTAGCACTGTGTAGAATACAAAAGACTAGCTTTCACACATTTTACTCCTTTTTTGCATCTCAGCACTGCTTCTCTCCTGCAGCCGCTCTGCAGCCACTTCGTGCCTACACTCACTGCATGACATTTTTCAGGTCCAGTTTTTCACCATTAGTCGCAACATGCCTGTGCAATGTGCAACAGTGTGGGTGCTTGTTGTTTTCATTGGGAGAGCATGAGACATGGTGACAAATCACAGGAGTACAATTAGGAAAGAGAGACAGAGCCCAATAACAAGTTTAGATTTAATGTGACCCTGTAGCTAACTCAATGGAAATATGACTAAAGGCATTCTACAAAAGGAGTAAAAGAACGCTTAGCTGTCACCTGTCCTACCACGATTATCCAACACGTACAGGTGTGTTGGACACTTGGTCCCCCCACAACTTGATTTAGTTGCTACCACCAGCCCTGCGTCACTACAGGGCACAATTGTGACATAGGGCCAGACAAAAGCATCCACTGCAAGTGGGTATATGACATCCAGAAGTGTTTGTAGTTCTGCAAGAAAATGAAGAACGAAGTTACCCCCTTCTGGACAGGGAGGTATTCCTCTTATTATTTTACAAGGTAACTTTAGTTTTAGTTCAGTGGACTAGGAACGGATTAGCATTAGAAATACTGAAAATTACTTCTGAAACGAAATCACTGGCCTTTTTAGAGCTATGGTTAGGGGTGCCATTTTTTCCAGCGTAATCAGGTATGTTGTCAAGCATCGATGTGCATTTCCTTTGACCTAGGATTGTGAACACTTGTTGTTACTGCATCAAAGTGCATGTTACATTTGTGCTCCAAAGTTAGCATACCCTGGCAGAAACCATGACATTTTGGCATTGATATAGAAAATGACTGATCATGCCCAAAAAAGCTGTCCTTTATTTATTTATCCTGTGAAGCCATTTATTATCACATAGTTGTTTGACTCCTTTTTAAATCAAAATGATAACAGAAATCACCCAAATGGCCATGGTGAAACGTTTACATACCCTGGAATGTTTGACCTTGGTACAGGCACACAAGGTGACACACAGGTTAAAAATGGCAATTAAAGTTTCATTTTCCACATCTGTGGCTTTTTTTAAATTGCAATAGTCATGTGGATGCACTGAGCAGGCTAGATACTGAGCCACGAGGAGCAGAAAAGAACCATAAAAAGACCTGCATAACAAGGTAATGGAACTTTATAACAATGGAAAAGGATATAAAATGATATCCAAAGCCTTGAATATGCCAGCAAGTACTGTTCTGAACATTCAGTAATCTCGATACCAAGCCAAGGTCAGGTAGACCAAGAAAGGTTGCAGCCACAACTGCCAGAAGAATTGTTTGAGATAAAAGGAATAACATACAGGTAAGCTCAGGTGAATACAGGCTGCTCTGGAGAAAGACGGTATGGTTGTTTCAAGGAGCACAATACGAAGATACTTGAAGAAAAATTAGCCGTGGGGCTGGGTTGTAAGAAAGAACTGAACTGCCTTTACTGTGTTAATGCCACAAATAAACCCAGTGAGGTCAAGGTGTTGTTGGGCATATTGGAACTGGGCGTTTTTTGTGACATTGGCGCAGTAAAGGCTTCTTTCTGGCAACTCGACCATGCAGCTCATTTTTCTTCAAGTATCATAGTATTGTAACAACCACAATGTTTTTTTTCCAGAGCAGCCTGCATTTCTCCCGACCTTACCTATGGGTTTTTCTTTGTATCCCAAACAATTCTTCTGGTAGTTGTGGCTGCAATCTTTCTTGGTCTGCCTGACATGACCTTGGCTTGGTATCAATAGATCCCCAAATTTTCCACTTCCTAATAAGTGATTGAACAGTACTGACTGGCATATTAACCACTTCAAGTCTGGACACTTTTACCCCCTTCCTGTCCAGGCCAATTTTCAGCTTTCAACGCTGTCACACTTTGAATGATAATTGCGTGGTCATGCAACACTGTACCCATATGAAATTTTTAGCATTTTTTTGAGACAGATAAAACTATATAAATGAAAAAGTCAAAAAAATGTTGAAAAAAAGTGTTTCTTATAAAATTTTTCAAATAAATAATTTTTCTTCATAAATCTTGGCCAAAATGTATCCAGTTAACTTTTTAGTAAAACAAAATAAACCAAATTAGTTTATAACCATAAATTATAATTTTTCAAAACTTTTTGTACATTTTTACTTAATTTTATTCTATTATTATTTATGTTTTTTTTTTTAACATACTGTCACCCTAGCAGTACAGTATCACCATAGTGACACTGTACTACTTGTGGGGGGTGATGAAGATTTTTTTTTTTTTTTTTTTATACTGATTGCTTTTGCACACATAAAGGCTGTAAAAGCAATAATTTCTCCTTCTCTCTGACTGCATTCTTGCAGCCATTGAAAAATACTGTGAGAGCTGTGATTGGTCACAGCTTGTCACATGGTACAAGGCTGTTGTGAATAGCCTTCTACCATGTGATCTCTGTGATCATTCACAGATTTCACAAGTAGTAAGCAATGATGTCAGGAGTGACATCTTGTTTATTACTATTCATGTGGTCACTGATTGGCCAATCAGTGATCACATGATCGGGACCTCACACAGAAGTCCCGTACAGCGATCGGTGTTCCGCTGTGTCCTCCGGTGCCACGCGCTCCCAGGGAGCGAGCATAGGCTGTTTATGAATGGCAACCCGCGCCTGCACTGCTCCTCTCCGGCCATTTATATATACATGGGCTGGACGGGAAGTAGTTACAGGCTATGGATATCTTTTTATATCCTTTTCCATCTTATAAAGTTCCTTTACCTTGTTACGCAGGTCTTTTGACGGTTCTTTTCTGCTCCCCATGGCTCATGCAGGCCATTGATGGGTCGAAAACTGGCCTTTTTTTTATAAAAAAAAAACCGAAAAATTGGTTGTTTGATTGTCCGATTTTTGGCCCATCTATGGCCGGCATTTAATTACTTCAGTCCCTTGCATAGAGCTCTGCTATTATATTTGACATAAGTATTGAAAAAGTATTGCAGTTGCAACAACGTATCCATTTGTATCCATTTCAGATACAGATGTTTTTATTCAGGTACAAATAGATACATTGTTGCAACCGCAATACTTTTCATATAAGTTACAATAGCGGACTGGAATTCTTCGTTTTCTTCTTTTTTTTTCTTCTTCCTTTTCTTCTTTTTTTCTTCTTCCTTTTCTTCTTTTTTTTCTTCTTCCTTTTCTTCTTTTTCTTCTCCTTCCTTTTCTTCTTCTTTTTCTTATTCCTTTTCTTCTTCTTGCAGGTCACGGCTCATGCGCAGATTTTTTATCGATAAAATGATCGGCCCGATTTGCCCATCATTGCCGGCAAAATTGGCCGATCGGCAAAATCGGCAGATTTTTTTCCAACTTTACCGATAAAACCAATGTACCGAAACCCCGAAAAACGGCCAGCCAATTAATCCACTAACGGTGCGAAAATCGGACGATTTTTTTTTTGGCCGAAAAATCAGCCGATTTTCGACCCGTCTATGGCCTGCATCAGTATCTAGCCTGCTCAGTGCATCCACATTGGTGCTAATGAACTCATTGACTATACACTGACACTAATTGCAATTTAGGAAAGCCACAGATGTGGGAAATTAAGCTTTATTGCCATTTTAACCCGTGTGTGTCACCTTGTGTGTCTGTACCAAGGCCAAACATTCCAGGGTATGGAAACTTTTAATCCGGGTCATCTGGTTGATTTCTGTTAACATTATGATTTAAAAAGAAGCCAAACAGCTATGTAATAACACTTGGCTTCATATGCTCACTATCCTTAAATAAAAGACAGTTCTTGCCATGATCAGTCATAATTCAAATATCAATGTCAAAATTTCACAAATTCTGCCAGGGTATGTAAACTGTATGCAAACAGAGCTGTGTATACTTTTGATGTGCTGCCGTTGACTTCTATGGGCCTCCCAAAGCAATAAAATGCAGAAAAAATGGACATGCTATATTGATTGGGTTTACATATACTTTAAGTGCTTGTTCACACAAGCTTTGGACCATACAGGCATCAAACCAATTGAGCACAGGTGAGTACTTGTGCCTTTATTTCCATTTTAACTGTCCATTCACAGGTTGAGGCACGGACAAGACCTAGTTGTATAATAGATATTATATAGTAGATGAAAAGAAGGTAACAGGCTGGCTGAGCTGTCTAGCATGTCTGTATGAACCTTAGGACTGGATGAACATAAATACAAATCCTTTGGCAAGTAAAGGGTTTGTTCCATTTTATCAATTTCAACTGTGTATTTAGTTGTTTGCCTGGAGTTCAGCTTTAATTCATTCATATTCACAACCGAGATATTGAAATATAAAGATAAAAACAGCTACAGAAGAAAAGCATGCAGCACACAATAGTAAATAACACAATGTACAGTAAGCAATTCACGCCATTCCGCTGACATTAATGTGTTTGCATAAAACCAGCAAAACTTACCCTGGTAACTGGCAATTTCACAATATGAGATCTATTACTTGAAATCACCCTGGAAAAGAAAGAAGCGCAGAATAAACAGATGTTCCTTTCTACTTAGTTACTAAATCTCACTATGTGGAGGAAGATTTGCATGGTAATTGTGCAGAATGGCACATTTTGCAAATATCTTCTGCAGCCACTTCCTTCTTTGCCTGTACTGTCAATAGAGATCTTCATGTGCGAGCTAACAAAGTGGAAAAGAGTCTCTATAATTACCGGAGCCTCAATCACTGGGCTAATGTGAAAAACACTATCTGCTCACCGCTGAAAAGATTGTGATTAGAGAAATGAGCCGCCAAGGAAAGCCAGCCTCCATGAATCATAATGTGACACACAATCTACCATCTGTAGAAGGTAAAGAACACTTTCCCAACATAATCTTGTGCAAGGAAAATCCTGCAGGAGCTTCAAAGATGAGTCACTTCTATACTCTGCTCGGTAAGACACCGCAAAGGACTGAATTGTTGTACCAACCAAAGGTAACCTTTAAAGTGGAACTTCACTCTCTCAATCAACATTGACTATTTTTAATCCTTCTGCTGCTAGCATTAGTAAATACATAGGAAAATATATCATATTTATTTGGTTTAAACTTTTTTTTTTTTACATTTCTTCAGTTACTTCCTGGTTTCCATGCCTAGGCAAAGGATGTCATACATTCCAGGAATCTTCAGGAGGGGTTTTCTCAGCTAACAAAAACAAACAACTAGGAGGATAATAAAGGTAACCAATTTTAAATTAGACAATTCATCACCTGTTCCCCTGAATACGTGATTTATGTCTTACGATGTCCATGTAAACTGTTATATGTTGGTCGCACCAAACGCACATTGCGCAAACTGATCGGTGAGCATCGCCAACTCATCACAGATGGTAACGATCAACATAGTGTTTCTCGTCATTTTCTTCAACATCATAATAAAAACTTCCAGAGCATGGAGGTCCTGGCAATAGAATGTATCAATGATATGTCATTAACCCAGAATGAAAGATATTCGCTCCTTTGCAGGAGAGAAACCTTCTGGATTTTTAAATTAGGTACTATGACACCTGATGAATAAAATGAGGACCGAGGTACACTGTATATTGTAACACAACAGCTGTGACATAAGTCTTGAGGAGTGTATCCATTATAATATGTTCTGTTTTCTACCCCCCCCCCCTTTCTTTTTTTCTTATCCCCTTTTAATATAAGTATTTGCATTGTGATTATATAATTATTATATAAATTAGATTTGACCATGATTATGATTATTTTTATTGTTTTTAACAGTGGTATGTACTAGTGCTCTATAGAGACATAAGTTATCTGTAACTCTTTTTATTGTTTTTTTGTGTTTTATCTTATTCATCCATGTTGTATTTTTATAATTATTGAATTACTTATAACAATAAGTATTTTGCATGAGGCTTGTGGGACCGGCTTACATTGTTAATAATTTGGGGCTTGTACGTGTAAATTTCTGGTCCCTCCTTCCCCATTTTACTAATTCATTACATATTCCTCCTTATCCAGGTTACCAATTGACTGTGATAGAGCACGATCTCGTGCGAAACGCATCGTCATGTCAATCAGTACTTGTGATTGGTCTCCTTCCCACTGAAGATTTTTGATGGTTGTTCCTGGCTTCTCTGTGTTCCACTGAGGTTATTTCTGGTGCACCATGACATCACTTCCGGTGTGCGATCTCCAGCAACCGAGGAGGTCCATCCTGCTCCTCTCATCCATCCTGTGGGGTTTCCTTACACAGCTGGCCTTGGACACCTGTACACCATCTATTGTGGCTCTCTCACCTTCCATCCACAGAGCTCACCATCCAGGCTCTCCATTGCTATGTCTACAAAACAGTAAGCCGCTCCCATCATTCCTTCAGTCTATGGTTTGCACCGATCCCTGTATGACATCCATTCATGGATACATCCTTATGGTGATTCTTGCTTTATTGCTCCATTAAACTGTTATATATTGTCTGCTAGTCATGAACATTATTGTTTTTATTCTGGACATTCGCCACAAGCGTTCTGATTTTCTATGGTTTTCTCGGCTAAGCACATCCACCTGCCTGCGTGCCTGAGCTAAGGATAGATGGATTCCAGGAAATAAATGCTACTAGAATCATCTGCCCATACTCAAGATGGCCACAGCTAGAAATGCACTTGGCAAATGATGTTATACATCCTAGCAGACTTCAGGAGAGGAAGGAGGGTTCTCTGCTCAGCCAATGCCTGAACTGAGGGCAGATGGATTCCAGGAAGTAAATGCTACATGAACAGGGGCGGACTAACAAATCATGGAGTCCCCGGGCAATAGGGGATCATGGGGCCCTGTGTCCTTGCCCAAACTCAAAAAAGCTTATGAAAAAGGTACCAGGGGCATCTCATGGGGCTCTCTACTGACCCCGGGCCCTCAGGCAGTGAAGGGAAATGTATGTTCCTCGCCCTACATTCTGTTTATTTTTTATATATACTCCATTTTGCTTCTCTATTTTATATTTTGTCTAGATAATCAAATGTATAGTTGTGTGTGTGTCAGTTACGTGCTATAGAACTGTAGCCACTCATCCTTTAAATCTAGCTTTGCTCAAGGCATGAAAAGTAACCAATTATTTCTTTGTACTAACAGCACCTGCTTCTGCTATGATATAGTTAAAAGTTAACCACTTCTGCTTTAAGGGAAAATACCATTGGTTTCATGTAATTGATTCAAGATCTGTGCGATATGAATTGTTACAGATGTCACGTGCATAGCCTTAACAAATTACTCAGTGAAATTCCATTCTATGTTCTCCTGTTACAACTTACCATATATAAGGAGGAAATTGTGAATAAAGAATCAGATTGCTCTCTGGAAGACTTGGCGTGCATGTGTATTTTTCTTCCTCCCCGAGAGCAGCCTCTTGGATCCAACGGGGGGCCTAAACCTGCCAGTGGTCATTAAAGAAAAATCCCTTTCAGGCAGTGCCCGAGTTTCCAAATGATCAGTCCGCCAATGTACATGAATCATCTGCCCTTGCTCAAGATGGCCATGGACAAAAATGCTAGGGGGTGTTTTTAAAAGTTATTTCTCAGCAAAATAAATCCCCGGGACTAACAAAGAAAACCTTAAAAATGGGGATGGTGGGGGGGGGGTTTGGGTTTTAAAAATTTAACAAAAAAATTAAAAAGTGTTTTTGGGGGCTTGTGGTGCTAAAATGCAGTTTTTAGTTCCACTTTAAGCGGGGCTTCCAAAGGTTTAATTAAAAAAGTAGGGGTTAAAGTTTGGTTTAAAACAACCCCCTTACTGAATTTTCGGGTGGGGGCAATGAAATCCCTTTGGAAGGCCCAAAAAAGAGAGGGAAATGTTAAAAAATCTATTTGGCCATTTTTTTTTGGGGGCTTTTGGGAGTTATTTTTTATCAAAAAAAGGAAAGGGGGGGGGGCCCCCCGCTCGGGGGCCAAAAAAAAAAAATTTTTTTAAAAAAAAAAACCCAAAGGGGAAAAAAACTTTAAATTAAAAAAAAATTTTTAAATTTAAACCTTGGTTTTTAAGCAAGGGGATTTTAAAAAATACTTTAAAAAATGAAAATAAAAAAAGTTGCAAAAATTTTTTTTTTTTTTAAAAAATTGGGGGAAATTTTTAAATTTGTTTTTGGGGAAATTTTTTCTTATTCTTTTCAATTTTACCAAACCTTCACCCTCCCTTAAACCCAAAATTTGACTTTTTAAGGGGCGGAAAAAATTTGGGAGTTAAAATTTTTTTATTTTTTTTCTTTTTTAAATGGGAGTAATTTTTTTTCCCCCAATTTATTCTTTAACGATTCCCTTTGGGGGGTTTTTTTAACTTTCCTTTTCCCCCCAACCCTTTTTTCGTTATCCTTAAACCAGGGCCCGGGGGGGGGTCACTTTTCCCTTTTGGGAAGAGCCGGGGGACCCCTTGGGGGGTTTTTGGGTTTTTAAAACCTTTTGTTGGGGGCCCGCAAAAATGAAATGGTACCCCAAAAATTTGATTTTTTTTTTTTTTTAACTTTTATTTTTTTAGGCATAATTTTTGGGCTTTTTTTCTCCTTTGGCTTTTTGCTGAAAGGGGGTTCGGGTTGGGAAGGGGGGGGATGAGGGGGTTGCCCCCCTTTTTCTTTTTTTTGGTTTTTGGGCAGGGAGGGGAAAATGGGGGGATCTTTCCTTTTTTCCGTCCCCTTTTGGGGGGGCCACCCTTTTTTCCTTTTTCCAGAAAAAAAAAAATTTTTTTTAAAAAAAATTTTGGTGGCGGTGGGCGGGTTGGGGGGGGCCCCTTTTTTGGGGGCCGGGGGGGGGCGGGGTTTTCCCCCATTGGGGGGCCCGGGGGAATACCCAAAACCCTTTTTTTTTTTTTCTTTTTGGGGTTTTGGGGTTTTTTTTAAAAACAATTTCCGTTGGGGTTTTTTTACCACCCCAAAACTTTGCCTTTTGGGTTAAAATTTTTTTTTCCCTTAACTTGCCCTTTTTTGGTTTTTCCCTTGGGAAGGTTTTGGTTTTTTTTCACACAAATGTGCTGATGTTTACCCAAAACCAAATGGGGGGCAGCATGTGCCCTGCAGTTTTCCTAAGTTAGCTGCACTTTAAACAAAAGACTTCAAAATTATGGAAGAAAGGAAAGAGATGAGCAAAACCCAAACATGCGAATTTGGGAATTCGTTTTTCCGCGGGGTTTTGGAAAAATTTTTATTCGGGGCCCGAACCCGAAGTTTTTAGCAAACTTGGGGTTTTCCCAAAATCGAAAATTTTCCCCAAAAAATTTTGGGGGGGCGCATGTGTGGCGACGGAGAAGGAAAAAGGGAAACAGGAAGATGGGGGGGACCCCCTGGGAAGGCGCGCGGGCCCCAAAGGCGCGCAAACCCAAATGCATTCAGGGCCCAGGTGATCGAAATTACCCCAACCCGCGGGCCAGCCGGGCCACTGGTGTAATTGTGGGACTAAAACGCGGCCATCTTATAATTTCCCCCAATTAGCCCCGGTCTTCAAAAAGAGGGGGACAGACCTGTGTTTTTAAAGGGG